CTGCGTCATGACGACAAGGTCATTAGACGCGAATTCCAAATCGGTAGCCTGGTTTTGCGCAGAAACCAGAAAGACTCCCGCGAAGGGAAATTGGCCGTGAACTGGGAAGGACCCTATCACGTCCATGGCACCACAGGCACCGGGGCATATTACCTCGAGCAGCTAACGGAGAACCATTACCACAACCATGGAACGCTGCTAAGCTAAAGCAGTACTATAGCTAAAGCCCTTAAACACTAAGGACTCTCGCCGTCGAACATCCACATCTAGTCAACAGAGAGAAATGTCTCGACCACGTAGATAGGCCAAGATACGGGCTCGATCTACACCTAAACGATGTAACGCCGTTCAGCCAACGAGGCCGAATGACAATGCCCGACAGGGACACCTCAATTGAGCTCCACTATCGAAGTACCCACATGGCAGAACACCCAGCTCGCGATGGGCAGTTCACGCCGCGGGCATACGACCTCGATCCGGTCATACGCTCGACACGCGGGCTTCACTCGGCACAACCGACGCATTTCGAAGTACGTCGAACTATCAAAAGGGTTCGAAAGGATATCTCCGCTCGAGGATGTAACTTAGACAAATTTCATCATAAAGTGACAGTCGAATACAAGTTTAGCTCGAGGACGTAACTTAGACAAATTTCATCTCAAAATAACAGCCAAATACAAACTTAGATACGAGAAAGTTAACGCGAAATAAACATCCATCAAGAAAGCTCATACACAAGACAAGTTAATTGTGAATCGACCAAAAAGGCCGGCGATGTTCAGGGTTACAAGCCATGGCACGACGGCCAAAAGAAATGAGCACGGGCACACAAGCCCCAAAATTGAGCACGGGCACGCAGGCCCCAAAACAAATAAAAACCATCACACAGGCACGTAGGCCCGAACAAAAACTTAATGCTAAACGTCCCCAGGACTACCGGCGTCTACTGCAGGAGACTTGGGAGGAGGCACCACCTGACCGTCAATAATCTGAGACATGAACCCGACTCCCTCGGTATTCATGCCCGGATTCAGAATGGCGAGTTGGCTGATCGCGGCCTCGAAACCATCGGCTAGGGCACTAACACAGTCCGTCTCAAGAAGATGGATACGCGCAACCAAATATGAATGGGTCCGCGAAGAGGTTGTCTCCTCCGACTCATCGTCGACAGGAAGCATAGCAGCCTTTAGCTCCTCGACTTCCTTGCACAGACGTTCGTTGTCACTCTCCAAGCGTTCCTTGTCCAGTTGGAGGCAATCCCTCTCCTCAACAACCTTCGCAGAGTTTTCCTTCTCCCCCGTCAGCAGGACGGCTTGCTCACGGAACATTTCCTCGGACTGCTCGAGGGCCGCCTCAAACTTACGAGAACTGGCAGCAAGAGCGGCTTTCTCGGACTCCAACTCCCTAACACGGTCCGAGGAATCCGACCCTTCCTCGGCAAGACCACGACTATCTCATCCATCTTCACCATCCCGACCATGTTGGCGGCGAGATGTTTCCTCCGACTCTCTTTGTCAAGCCGCCTAATAGTCTCGGCCTCGTCATTGCTCACCGTCAGAGGAAACCCCTCGAAGAAATCTTTCTCTTTGAAGCAGGGGGTAAGCCGAAAGTCCTCGCGGCTACAGACTCGTTGCCAACCTCCGACCTGTTTTCAGCTCGGCTTCTCTTTGGGAATCAGTTCGGTGGGTTGCTCAGCATCGGGAGAGCCCGAGGACCCACTAGAGGCATCTCCGCCCGAACTGGCCGGTGGTCCCATCCTCGTGGCCTGCGGTGCCCGCACCAGCCTTTTGTTTATTTTCTTGTCCTGGGTCAGTTTCAACAACCTCTCCCGACGCTCAGCCATGTCGCCTGCAAAGAGGAGCAAAACCCGGGTTAGCTGTAAGCAAACAAAAACAACGAAAATGGAATAAAACAATAAGAGCAGAAGCAAGAAACCTAGCAGATCTACAGCCTTCCCGTAAGATTGGCACTCGACGAGCGCCTTAGTGTTGATAGGACGAGCCTCGAATGTCGGGTACCCTTCCTCGTCAAGAATATCGTCCCCTTCCCTCGTAACCCATCGGGCAGGGAAGAAACTGTCAACATATTTGCAAAGGACAGCGTAAGCCTCCTCGTCCTCGACGCTCATGCTTCCCGCCGGCGTATGATAATACCCGGTACCATGGTCGTAATGGCCAGAGCACCAATGTATCGGGAACTTGGAAATACGCCCGACTGTCGGACGACCCTCGGCATCCACGAGGGGCTCCCCCTCCGCGTCGACCACCGTAGTTTCCGATTCGAACAAGGAGTCCAAGGCAGTTTGGGTGACCGGCTGCAGAACATACCATTTATCCTTGAAGTCCCTTACGAATCCATATACATCCTGAACAGCCTCTTCGACTGTTTCAGGGATACCCAGCTGTGCCTGCCTCCTCGAGACTGACACTGCAGGTGGAAGACCCGGAAGAAAAGAGGAATCGTCGCCCCGATCCTCAAGAAACGGCACATCAGCTCGAACGCCCGAAGGAAGGCGATCGAATTAGGGTGAAGCTGCGAAGGGGCCAAGTTCAGGTGGCTGAACACCCCGACTTGAAAATCACTGAAGGGGAGCTTAAGGCCGAGATCCCTGAACACGATCTCATACATTGGGAACCCGTACTCCATAAACTCTGAGCAGATACGCGCATCAATCGACGGCCTCATCACTACAAAATTTTTCTGAAAATCTGGCTGACTGCCGCCATGCTCGACGACAGTATAGGCACGCTGACTACGCCGAGGCAATCCCCCGGGGCTCGGCGCCCACCCAGTCCAACGCGGGGTCATCTATAGTGTCAACTAAAGTAACATTCTCCTCCGTACTTGTGTCCTCGACTTCATTTTGCCTCGAAGATTCCGATTCGTCGGTCATTTACCTACAAAACACAGGAAACCGGTGAATTCGAGAGCAAATCCACGTGCTCGCCAGAGACAGGAAGTAGTACACAACAAGCCGAACACAGACGCCCCAGCTCCGGCCACGCATCGGGGACAACAAGGGAGTAGCACGACCTCCCCGGGCGAAACATGAATCGCTCGAGCAAGTTCCTGGAGTCACCTGCCTGACACTAGGACACTGCGAGGAGGCTGCCCTACAGACTTCCTAAAAAGGATGAAAACCCCGGCCAGCTCATGGGCATACCGACCAAACGCATGAATGTCACGGGCAGTATCATGGGTCATATGCCTAGAACTATGAATGTTACGGGCAGTATCATGAGTCATATGCCTAAAGCTATGAATGTCACGAGCAGTATCATGAGTCATGTGCCTAAAACTATGAAGGTCACGGGCAGAAGCGCGAGTTATGTACCTAAACTATGAGTTTACCGGGCGCAATCATGAATCTACCGGGCACTACTCCAAGAACATGGGTTTCTAGCATCAAAAATAACATTAAAACTACCTACAACGAAGAAAAATGGGAGGAACAAACACTTACTTGGAAGAAAATAGTACGAGTGACAGCGGTGAAAGGAATCAATGGCAGATGATACGGTGATTTCACAGCGTTGCAGCAAACGACGGCAGCGGAGTCAGGGAAAGAGGGAGGAGCGTGAAGGGGAAAAACAAATTATGGACCCAAGGGTCCTATTTATAAGAATGACGTGGAATTTGAAACGTCACACCGGGGAAACACGAACTTCCCTGTCCTCGACACCTACTCCCCTAGGCAATGATAGCCCTAGTTGCTAGGGTGGCGCTATAGTTCCCAAGGACTGCGCCACGTACCCGACGGGCGCAACCCGTGTATCCCCGCGAGAAACGCCTCGAGCACGCTTCAAAAGACAAAACCCTGGTCCGCGTATCATCCCCGTGGCAAAGGCGAGCGGAAGTCAAGTCATAACTCCTGCCCCAGGAGCGACAACTTGGGGGGCTCCTGTTCTGGACTGGGCCCGCCTTGGCCCAAAACGTAGATAAAGGCCCAGTCCAAGCAAACTCCTCGGGGAATGCTCACGAACGGACCATCACCGACATGCCCGACCACAGACCAAGGCCACTATGCCCGCCATTGCCCGCGACACGTAATATCCCCGACCGAGGGAACTCCAGCTAGAGTCCAGCTCGAGCACCCTCCCCATAGGGCAGATTCTGTCCACTCCGACCGTTATAAAATCTTCTAAGCTCCGAAAAGACCGCGTCTTCGTCCCTCCTTATTCTTCGCGGAGCATCACCAGGAAGGGGACCACGTGCGGGGCCCCACTACACACGTAGAACCTGGCAGTTCCTTTATTGAGTCAGTCCTGCTCAGCCCAATAAGGGGACCTTGGCCCAGCGCTGGGGGCTATAAATACCCTCTGTTCCTAGAGGGTCAGGTATTCATCTCTTACGCACCTATACTTTTTTTTTGCCTGCTCATTCCGTCTCTCATTTTAGCATCGGAGTGTCTTGCAGGTACTCCCCATCTCACTCAAATTCAGTTCGAGCCAGTCGTGACGGTCCAAATCTGATCCGGTAAGATCACAACTCACCCAAACTTTTGATTCTCAAAACAAAAAAGAATTTTTTTTTCTATTATAAGATTTTTAAGGTTGGTATGTAGAAATAACCTTATTTATATCTATGAATACAACAACAAACTTGTAAGCAAAAAAAATACAACAACTACAAGTATACGTAAAGTGTTCAACATAAATACGTATCAATGTCACATACGATATGAACCAGGTAAAGTTTCAAAATTGGAATTGGAAACTACATTTTTCAATCTCAAAATATATTGGAGAATTAGAAATGTTTTCTAATAAAAGGAAAGTCAATTGTATCACAACTTTCTTTTGTTGTTTTCTTGCTGTTAAATGACAAGTTTTCTTTTTATACATAAAAATCAGAGTGAAATGGTAATTTATTCCTCAAATTTGTTAAGTATCGGTCAAAATAATTTTTAATATTTACAAATTAATAAATATATACAAATAAAATTTTTAATTTTAACCTCGTTCGTCAAATTTAATGTGTCCATCAAAACTTTATGCTCTTCAATCATCATCATCATCATCTTGATAGTTGAAAGGAAGAACTATTGAGTTGAATGCTTTATACTTTCCAACATTGCTCAAATGCTCATTCTCCAACCTATTCAATTCAAAACATCAACTCATAAATTTTAATACCAATGAAGTTGTGATAATCATTGCCAATGAGTTCAATAATTTACCTGAAAAAATTCCAAATGCCACGGCGAAGGATCTCCAAACAAGTTACAATAGCAGTCAAAGCTGTTTTATGGAGGAGAGGAGCATCCTTAATGCCTAAAACAGATTGCATCCATGCAAACCTCAGGATAACATTCACTGCCTAAAATGCCATCATAAGAACCGTGATTCATATCGTCGTGCAGATAAAAATAAGAGACGAATAAAGAGCACATATATTTGTATCCAAATATTAACTTACCATAGAAACAAAATATACACTTTTGTATGGTACGAGGAGTTTATCTCTCAACCATGGATTTCTTGAGTCTCTTACTAGCAAACCCCAATCCATGACAAAATCCCAATAAGTATTATAAACTGTTGCAATGCTTGAAGAACTTACAGCCAGAACTTTCCAAACAGTTCCCTTGCGAGACTCACTAGAAGTTCTCAGAATAACTGCAGTTATTGTTGAGATGTATTTTAGTCCATTGAGTCCATGCGTTGTATTTTTGTCTTCGAGTAATCGGCGAACACACTTAAAACAATAAGGTTTGTGTTAGGTTAAAATGAATGAATAAATTATATCATATACATTTGTTAGAACAGAAACTTTGGTTCAAAAATAAACAAATACAAAATTGAAAAGTGTGTACCTGAAGTAATCGGATCCAGTATGGAACAATACCTACAATTAAATAAAATGTTCTATAGATTCCACTATCATTGCACTTATTTGATCTGGTCAAGAAATCTCCCCAAAAGTAGTAGCAAACATAGAATTCCAAACATCTAAATGATTGCACCTGAAGACATAATTGTTATGTAAAAAACAAACCGAAGATCAATGTAAAAGTTAGGTAAAAGCAAGCTTAAGCTTCAAATAAATATGACTTCACTCATGTTTTAAAAACCATACCAATGATCAAACTGTTGAGACTTCCAAGTCATAGTTCAATTGGTTTAATAAGTTCAACCACAGTGGAACTGAATGGCAACTAAATAACTATTTAAAAAATGAAAATCAGGTTGAATCAGTTTAACCCAGTTCACCCTTACTAGTTACTACATACAATATAACCTGGTTCAAACCAACCGATGAACTGAATGATTCTCAATTCAACCGGTTGAGTTGCCTTCTAATCGATTTTCAAAACATGTTTATATATAATGATTGCATAAAAAGTGACAAATATGAAGATTTAGTATAACGTGAAGTATTAAACCTGGGTGGTAAGCTGATCTGCCAAAAAACTATCTAGAAAATGGACCTGAAAATAAAAAAAATCAAGATTAGTATCTTCAATGGAGTTTAGAGCATAGGTTTCAAATTTTCCCTTTGTTGTTTACCTTATAGAGAGGAGCACAAATGGTGTGAAATGCAGCACGAATAAGGCAGAAGCGACTGGATTTATATACGATATTGAAGGGACAAAATGTTAAGGCAAGCAGAAACTGCAATACAAATTCATTAAATAAAGTCAAATAGTTTTCATATAGGTTATAAGCTGAAAACAACTTATTGACATGTCATAAGTTATTTTCATAACAAGTCATACCAAACAGCAATATATACTACCACCAGAATTATTCCAACCTGTTTCTAGGCACAGTTTTTCTTCCCTCAACTATACCATTGACAAAATAAATAGCAAGATGATCAAATTTGAAAAAACAGATATAATTTTATAACTTACTATGATTAGGCCTAAAGGCACTGATTCTGTAAGTGCTGAGAAACTTTTGGTTCTTTGATCCATCTCCATATCTAAGTTTGAAAGAACAGCAACCAAAGAAAGTACGGCAAGGCCGGAGCTAAGAAGAAATACTTCTCTATAAGCTAACTCAGTTCCTTCTTTGAATCCAAATATAAATGGATAGTTGATTCTAAAATGCCTCCATAAGTATGTGTTGACAGCGTACATGATCATATGGAACACAATGTATGCGAAGAGACTGCAATAAACTAAAGTTCATCAATCATGTTTCTAAAAACTAATGCGGAGCTCCTTCCTAACAGTTTCACAATCAGTCCAAAAGCAGAATCGAACTGCTAAAAAGAACCAAAAACAGAATCCAAAGGTTAAAAAAACCAAAACCAGATTGAACTGCTAAATCGAATAAAAAAACATCAGAAAAAATTGAACAGTCATAATCAGTCCTTTTGGCTTTTGATATTTTAATAGAAATTGGTTTGGTTTTTTTCCAACGGTCTAACTATCCCTAAATAATAAAAATTTGGTATAGTTCGGTTCACAAAGAGTGTGTTTAGTTAAGTTTTCATCTTGATACCGAACCATGAATAAGTCTCGTGATTGACAACAACACATGTGATTACATGAATTCATCCATTTTCTCAAATTATGATTGATGTTCATAGTCTCTATGACATGCATGCATTAAAAGATGCAAAACACAATTATGTAATTGCACAATAAAAATGCAAATGAACGCCTCTAACTTACCTATAAAGTGGAAATATGTTATCCATATATCTCGTTCTACCTTCACTATTTAGAATATTTCTTGCATGTATGAGTATAATTAGTGCTGCAATGAGAGCAATTGCGCAGCCAGTAAATACTCCTGTTTATCAACGATCAAATGTAAGTTTGAGACATATTGAGGCAAAATGAAGGAGTAGAAATTCGGTAAGCATCAATGAATCAAAAACTGCATAGCTGCATTCAAAAAATAACTAACGTTCACCATTATATAAATGCACCTTATGATTTTCTCATGGTTTTAAATTGCGGTCATCAACCACAATATTGCAGATTTTGAAGTCTCTGCACCAGCATCACAACCTCAATTTTGATTGCATCGGCAACATTTCGGTGTAATACAAAGATTTAACAGCGTAACTACAACCGCAATTTGAAACCTTCACTGACATTATTCAAAAATAAAACAATTCCTTATGTCATTACCTAACAAGAATGTAGTTCTATGCCGCTCCTTCTTCGTTGTCGGTCTCAATGTGTTCATTCCTTTTCTATGATTCCCATTTGCAAAGTGTTTAATGAAGGCATGTTCCACTCTATCCATGAGCCTAGTAACCTTTTACAATACATAATGGAGTATGCAGCACTTTAGGCTCTGAAGAAAACTATTGATTTTCATTGAAAAATATAAGAGAATATAACCTCATCTGAGCTGCCAACATAAGAACTGTCCACCATCTTTCGATAAGCTTTTGATGCATTCCTTGAACTGACCTGTAGTGGTATTAATCAGATACAACCAAACCCAAAAAATGGGACGCAAAAAGATTATTCATGAAATCAAAAAGGATACCTTATCATACTTCTTCATGATTTTTGAGAATGCTAACAAATTTAAGAAGCTGCATACATATTAGCTTTGTCAAAGATAATCAATTTGTAGTTAAGGCCTTGTTTGGATAAACAATTTAATTAAGAGCTTGATGTATAAGTGTTTGGATCTGATTGGATTGACTTGGTTGAGCTTATCTACAGACATAAATAACTTGTGACACTGATTGAGGGAGTTTGAAACAGCTTATGACATGTTCATAAGCTGTTTTTAGCTTATTTCCACAAGCTCTTCAAGATAGCTTGTGAAAACAGTTTATAGCTTATATTTAAGGAGTTTGACTTTATTTGATTTTTTGTTATAGAACTAGCTTATACATAAGAACTTACATTATGTGATAAGTGTTTATGCTATAAGGACTTAGTCGAGTTGTTTTCGCATGAAGAGTCTATGGAAATATATAAGCTGGAGACATGTCATAAAATGTTTTCATAAGCTCTCTAAAACTGTCTCATAGGTATTTATGTCATTAGATAAGCTTAAATAAGTCAATACAAACAGTCTCTAAATTCAAAAGTGAAGAAAGAAACCATGTCACCTGTATTGTTTTAGAAGTCTAAGCTTATGATGTAATTGCTTGAAGGCTGCGCTAAGTTGCTCTTCTGCTTGCTTAAGCTCTTTCTTGTTAAATGTATCATCCGATTTTGAATTTGTTAAAAGACCTTTTATGGTTGCTAAAGGAGTTTCTGGTGGGCTCACATTGATCTTCACATGATCAAGAACCTCTAGAGGAGCTGGTCTAAAGCCCTCTAAGGAAGTCTTAGAATTGGTTTGTGCTACATGTTTTCTATCTTCTTGAAAAAGATTGCCATTGCTCATTTCAACCTCCTGAATCACATCCAGACTTGAGTCACCTTCAAAAATAATCAGCCACCTTAGACTGCAACTTCTCAAAAAACATCAACTTCTATGATTCATTTTTGAACTATGTATCACAAGCACTTAAGGTTAATAACATGTCTTCTGCCAGACACGTGTTGGTATCTGTATCTGACTTCAACACGACACCAGACATGCTTTTGATTTGAATTATGAATGCTATCTAGATCCTTGCAAAAATGTAAAACAAACAAATAAAAAATGAAAATGAAAATGGCTTACCATGTTTGGCATCATGCATAAAGGGAGTTGAAGAGGTTTCATTGCTATCAAGATCTGTAAACCCAATCTTTTCCACCTTTATTCTAAGAGCAATAAGATAATTAATTTGCTTACTTAACTCCTCAGCTTCATCAACCACTTTCTTAACCATCTTCTTATAAAATGCATTAACCTTATTAAACTCAAAATCAAGTTTCTTGAAAAACTCAAGATCTTTTTCTGCTCCATCATCAGAAGCTCTTAAGAACATGGTTTGGTAAAACCCTTTTGAATCTTCACCTTCTACTGACTGAATAAGTATAACTTCATCCTCACTTTTCTTTGAAGACTCTCTATGATTATCATTAAGACCACTATAAGCTCTATAGAGAGTTAACCTTCTCCTCAATGATCCTTTCGATGTTGATGTTGATGCCCTTCGCGCCGATGATAGATTTTGTGCCTTGTACTTTGAAATTTCTTTTAGAATGGATTTGAGAGAGTAGTAATCCATATATGCTTCTTGCCATTCTTGCACCATTTGTGACACAAATTCTTTTCCAAACTTCATCTTTTTTTTCAAGCGAGAAAAAAAGATGGATTTCAATTTTCAATGAAGTTTAATTTTTGAGCTGCAATGTGCGATAGCGATTTTGATTTATCAGAATTTGTGATTATGTGTTTAGGCAAGGAAAGAAGATAGTTGAACTTATTATTTAGATAGACAGAGAGTTCTTTTTTATAAAACAAAAACATTTTTTATAGAAGAGATAGTGTTATTTTCCCGCGATAAAAGAGAGTAAAGAGAAAAAAGAATAGGGTGAAAAGAAACCTGAAATAGCCTAAAATCCCGAAAGTTTTAGAATGGAGAACATAGCTTCCATTTTGTGATTTTCTCTAATAAATGGCAACACAAGTGCAGGTGCTTACATCTGCGTGTTTAAAAGCATAAATCTTAAATAAGCTAATCTTTAACTTTTAAAGTAAACCAAACCAAGATTTACTAAAAAAACATAAATAAGACTGTTACCAAAATAATTAGAAAATGAATTTTTACGGATGTAACCATGATTTGATAACATTAAACATGAATTTACTCCAAAAAAAATAATAATTTAAGTTCATCTGATTGAACCTAATGAGACTCCAGACATTTTACCATATTAGTATATCCATTACACCATAAAAGAAATAGTTTGTTGATTAATACCTGAAGGCCGTCATCTTTAACTTTTTCTGCAAGTTTGAGTTACTCCTTTGACAAAGTGACACCAGATTATTTGCAACAGGTTTGTTTGGCAACTTTAGTGGCTAAACTTCCCCAACCATCTCCAATCTCAAGAATTTCTTGTTTCCTCTCAATTCTAGCCAAGATAAAAATTAGTTATTTTGCAAAACAGAATTTAATATAGTCATAAAATAGAGATCAATAGCACTCACTTTTTCAAACAGATGAGATATTTTTCTCCTCGCATCTTTCAAGTCTTCATCTTCATTCTATCATATAATTTAACAAAAAAAATAAAGATAAAATGTTAACTAACTAATGTAGAAATTGAAATAGTAGCATCTACAAGAAATTTGGGCTCAGGCATCAAATTTCAGTATGAGAGAGCTTGGCTCAAATTGTAAGATGTTACAATAAAAGGAAGGAAATGCATTTTATCATAAAAATGCGTCAATATAGATAACTAATATTTGTTTCTATTATTTAATTTTTTTTGTTATTTTACCTTTTTTGTGAATTAGTTTACCGGGGTAAGTTATGTAGCACTGACACCTTAAAAAAATAATGTGTCTGTGTGAGTCTGTGTCAGACACCTACACTAACACTTATAATTACGTTTAATTTATTCATTTTTTTTAAATTATTACTGGTGTCGCAGTGTCAGGTCGGTGTGATGATCGGATTGTTTATGCTTTATATGTGGTAAGAAATGAAATAATCTTATTTCAAATGTTCAAATTTTGTAAAAGTGTACACTTCCAGAAATTATTCTGCAAGAATTTAGAATACACTCCCAGTCCTATGAGAATATAAACTTTCTACTAATGATATCTTAAGATTAACTTTAAACTTGCTATTGTCATGCCATTTCTTTCCAAAACACTTGAATTTGTTACATTAGATTTATCACCTAGATCATGAACAATGTCCTAAATAAGGATCATAATGGCGTAAAATATTTCACGATATCGGTTGGTATTGATTGCAGTTGTCGCGGTGTAAATTAACTGTAATTTCTTTTTCATCTCAAAAACAGTTAATAACCGTATCTGTATTCACACCTATCGCGACCGTTTTTTAAAACCTCTAGTCAAATTCAACCACTAAAACATGATATTCAGCATAATCATATACCTAATTCGAAGAGAATACATCCAATTCCGAATTAAGCTTCTCGAATATAAAATAATCTAGGTCTGGAGCGAATTAGAAATTGAAATAGGATTCAGGTTGTTGAAAAGCTTTGAATCAAAGAAACGCATCAAATTAGAAGCGAAAATAGGGATAACCTTCTCTCGATCTTTGTTGCACGAAATCGGAGAACGCGAGACATAACTATGCGGATCGGAGGGACAGCGTGGATTTGAGAGGTGCGGCGGAGAGTGTAGATACGCGGTGGTGAACGAGAGGTGTGGATTATTGAGAGCGATTTGGAAAACTGGTGAAGCAAAAGCCATGGAGGGAGGGAGGGTCTATGGTGATAGAAAGAGCTCTATGTTTGAGATTGAGCGCTATAAATAGTGAACGTTGTATTTTGGGATTTCGCGAGGGAAAACGAATTAGAACTAATAAATATATACCTAATTTATTAAAATAATTAAAATTAAATTAAACTAGTAATTTATTTATTTTTTAAAAACTAGTTATATATAAGATGAGTTTGTTATTGAATTCTTATAAGAAAAAATCTATTTTTAAAAATGACTTTTATTATTTTAATTGTGTTTGTTTGAAATTTAAAAATGAATATTTTAAAATAAAAAATTAATTCTGATCCAAAACAAACTCACACGCGTAGTCAAATGATAAACAATTAGTATGAAGTCAATCTCTATTTTATTTTTTTTTACGGGAAGTCAATCTCTAATTTATTGTGAAGCATATTGATGAACTTATTTGATAATATATAAAAGAGGAGTAAGACGAGATAACTCTTTATCATTTATCACTTTTTTGGTAGTCGAGGATGGCGGTAGTACAAGTGGTCTCTCTCGTATCCTTTATCTTCCTTTGAGAACAAGAATTGTGAATAAATTTAAGTGGTAGACTTTTGAGGTGGTAGTGCAAGTCTCTGAAACAGTTATATAGCGAATCAGTAAGATTAACACTCAAACGACTAAGTAATTATTGAGTTTAAAAAAAGAGTAGAGTGAAGTATGAAAAATGTGTACCTTTAATTTGATCATGGATATTTATGTGAGAGATTTAATGGACCCTTTATTTCTTGGGCTTAGCCCTTTGAAAATGATAAATTGATCTCTTTTACATTAGGTTTGTGGTCGTTCTAGAATAGTTTCTCCTCCCAAGACTTGTCGTGACGTGTCGAACAAAAAACCTTTCAAATAAGTGGCTTTAGGTTTGTAGATTTAGGATGTGGCATCCCCTTCTAGGGTATTCAAGTACACTTAAGTGTTGTTGCATTTTCTAAGGTAAGATCTAATAATTACCTTTCGTTGCTACATTCCTTTTTAATCTGGATCATCAATTAACTCACCCATTTTCGCTTATATAAAGATCAGATGGCTTTCTAGATGAACTTTCGCTCCCATTACGAATCGAAACACACTTCATTTTTGTGAAATTTTTCCTTTCTTGAACTTCTAGTTTTTTATTTATTGGTTTGAGTAGTGCATCATATGACTCATCATCGACCAAAACCTAAAATCTTTCACTTATTATTATTATCATCATAAGAGACAAATTCTCCCTTCTTATGAGTGAAGGAGGAGAATAAGGTTTCATCACTGGTCATATGTTTTGAACAATCTCTATCAAGGTATCACTTAGTATTTAAAACTATAAAGCATTCCAATAATAAAAACTCAAGTCTTAACTTTAGGTACATATACCAAATTGGATCCTCTACTATTAGCTCCATAAATATTTCCCCCAGTAGTTTTTATATCAAAAACACGACGATATGATGAGGTAGTTATATTTTTCATTTTTCCCTCAAAATGCTTTCTATAAACGTATGAAGGATGATCTCCTTGTTTCCTTTTATGTCTTTTTTTAATGAAATAAGACATAGTGTATGACCATATTTATTTCAGTATTTACAATTTAAGGTTTTGCAATGAGATGTAGATTTAGCATTCAAATAATATTAAAGTTATTATTATTGTTCATGGGTTCATAGCTAACACCGACTTTTTTGTAGGAGGCTATTTGGTTTCCCAACAAAAGATTCAAATTGTATCTTCCTTTAATAAACTTACCAAGTGTTTTTTTGGAGATTGCAAATTTAATTTTTCAAAATATCATATTTATCGCACTTGACAAGTTCATCTAGTTCTTTATTAGAAGAGGAAGAGTTTTGTACTAGATCATTTTGTCTCTCCCTAATATTTTTTATTTCTTTCAACAGGTTTTTATTTTGAGATTCAAGGGAATAAATAGTACCCTTGAAGATAGAGATAACTTGTTCCAATTTATTTGTTTCTTTTGTTGGCTTCTTACAAATACGAAAAAGATAAGAAAAGCAAGAGGTTACCTCGTCATATTGATGATTTTCCATGAGTGAGACGTTGACTTATTTATCATGTGAGGACTCCATATCATTGTCCTCCCAAGCGATGTAAGCCTTATTTCCCTTTTTATGAGGTTTCTTTAAAAAATATATATATTCTGATTTGTAAGTACGAAGTGCACCTAAGAGGGGGGGGGGGGGGGGTGAATTAGGTACTTTTAAAAATTCTGGTTTTTAGTGATGATGGTTCTTATTTTTATGGTTATAAGTGAGTTTAGAAAAGCTTAAAAATGCAGAAAAATAAAGAGATACGGGCGATATATCTTGGTTCCCCTCACAGTCCGAGAGTACTCCAGTCCCCTTTCAACTTGAAAGAGATTTCCTTATTGTGACAAACTTAAACAAGAACTACCAACAAAACCAAGAACAATCCTCTTGGACCAAGAATAATCCTCTTGGATTTTCACAAAGTTACCTATGAGAATAATCCTCTCAATGTAACTACACTTGTATCCAACAACTTGGAAAGACAAGATTTCAACAAAAACACTTAAACTTAATTCCAACAATCCTGGAAAATAAGTAAGTAAATATCAATTTCTGAGTTTGAGTGAGTAGAGTAATATTGATCACTTAGAGTGATTTGACAATGTATAATCTTCTTCTTTCAATAATAATATTGTACAAAGACTCAAGATATATTTGCTCAAAGTTTTCTGTTTGTTAATGTATGAAAATGTGCATAAAACATATGCATGAAAATGAAGAATGCTTGAGTTTGTATTTTGAAATTTCAGAAAATATTTATGGAAGAAGGTGTTAGATCTGGATTTGAAATTGAATATTTATATGTTCATAACACCCTTTTGAAACATCATGAAGATCTGGAAATGTATCATGAACAAATGCCAAGTTTGAGTGAAAAGATGTAATGAAAAGGCATGATGAAAAGGCATGAACAAAGCTGTTATTTTTCAAATTCGTGCAGTATGCAATCGATTGCACCCTTGGTGTAAATCGATTGCACAAGGTTTTTAACAGCTATTTTTTTCAAAATCTTTAAGAGTGCAATCGATTGCACTAACATAATATCCACTTGCCACACTGAAGTTTCTAACATAGCAAGCATTAGGTGTATGGTCTTTAATACCATAATAAAAACAAGTAGGTTCAAAGTTACTTCTATATCTAGAAGGATAAGATTTCTTCTTATAAAATGTTTTCTTTTTCGGATAGTGACGAACTATTTTAGGTTTGTTCACTTTCTCTTTGGAAGATTGATCACTTGCCTTAACAAAGATAATTTTGTTAGAACTTGGTTTTGAAAACTTTGAATATCCAAGTCCACTTTTATCATTGGAGTATCTTTGTTGGCTAAGAACACCTTCCAATCCAATTTGCCCTTTTTTATATCTTTCAATGACTCTTTTTAATTGGACAATTTGGAAAGAGAGTGAATCATAATTTTTGCATACAAAATTCTGTTTTTGTTCATCACTTGATTTTTGTTTTTCTTCTTTGAAATCTTTTTCCATTGAAACATTTTTTTCTTCTAAGGATGAAATTTGTTTCTTTTGTGATGAAATGGTTTTATACAGAATTTTGCATTCGTTCAATAGTTCATCTATAGCACATTGTGCATCACTATTAGAAAGAGAAAATTCATTACTAACCTCATTGTCTTCATCATCGGAATGGTGTGAGGCCATCAATGCTAGATTTGCACTTTCATCACTATCGGAATCGGATGAGGAACTTATTTCATTATCCTCCCATGCGACATAAGCCTTTTTGTTCTTGAATCCCTTCTTGCTTTTGAAGCCACCTTTCTTGGAGAGTTTTGGACAATCCGACTTGATATGACCTTGCTTACCACATTCATAACATGTGATTTCTTGTGTTGATGTGGAGCCTTCCTTTTTCTGAAAATATTTCTTTCTTTTTGAATGAGAGAAAGGTTTGTCATTTCTACCGAAGAACTTACCAAGCCTTTTAACAAGAAGCATGAAGTTTTCATCTTCTTCTGGATTGTTTTCCTTTTCAACTTCCTTGGAGTCTATCTTCAAAGCAATATTCTTGGATTTCTTCTCTTGATTTTCATGCTTTTCGAGTCTTCCGAGTTCCGTTTCGTATTCTTGAAGTTTTCCAAATAATGTTGCGGATGTCATGTTGGATAGACTTTTCTTTTCTGATATTTCCGTTACTTTTGGTTGCCATCCCTAGTTAAGGACCTAAGTACTTTCAGATTCAATTCATCATTTGTCAAAGTTTTACCAAGAGCACTTAGATGATTTGTCAAGTGCACAAATCTCTTTTGTAAGTCAAGAATGGTTTCTCCGGGTTGCATTCGAAATAATTTGTATTCTTGACTTAGGATATTTAGTCTTGATCTTTTTACTTCAACCGTTCCTTCATGAGTTTGTACCAAGGTATCCCATATTTCTTTTGATGTTTTGCATGTCGAGACACGGAAGAATTCGTCCATGCTAAGTGCACCTTGAAGAAGGTTTATTGCTTTTTTGTCATAGAGAACTTTCTTCTTATCATCATCGTCCCATGCAGATTTAGGCTTTGATGAGCCGACATCTTTGATTATCGTTATAGGGATAAATGGACCATTTTCGACGGCATCCCATATTTCTTCTCCTTGTGCTTCTAGATGCGCCTTCATGCGTATTTTCCAGAAGTCAAAATATTCACCACAAAATAGAGGAGGCTTGTTGTTACTACCACCATCTTTGAAAATGGGATTATGATTTGCGGAAGCCATTCTGGATCTTTTAGAAGAAGGTTACCTATAACCTTCTCTGATACCAATTGTAAGTACGAAGTGCGCCTAAGAGGGGGTGAATTAGGTATTTTTTAAAATTCTGGTTTTTAGTGATGATGGTTCTTATTTTTCTGGTTATAAGTGAGTTTAGGAAAGCTTAAAAATGCAGAAAAATAAAGAGACACGGGCGATATATCTTGGTTCCCCTCACAGTCCGA